ACATAATAAATGCATTTGTTTTCTCTGTTTTGTTTTTTAGACACAGTTTTGAATATCTGCTCAACTTCCGCAGCACAGTGCCAAATCTCAGCATAGCTCTGTGTCTCTCTCAGCTTCTCTCCACTGTGTCAGAGAAAGGAGGAAATCCTGCCGCTTACAGAGAGCAGACTGGTTGGGCTAATACGATGCCTCATTTTAATTCACTTGAATTATTTTCAAAGAGTGTGTGAGGACCTGATTTATTTATTTTTCTTGGTTTAGCGTCCCTTGCACGGCGTTTCTTGAACCAGGACTGGGTGACGGCCAGTGGCGAGAAGGAGCGAGGCACCAAATTCAATGAAGCACTTCACACTCTCCTGAGGTACGTCTGCATTTTTTGTGGCCCTCTAGTGCAAATGTAAACTCAAATGAAAGCAGCTAAAAGTCATAGGTATACACTGACTGGTCACTTTATTAGGTACACCGTGCTAGTACTGGGTTAGACTTCATTCAAGCACAGATTCACCAAGGTTGCTGGAAACATTCCTCAGAGATTTTGGTCTATATTGACACAATATATCACACAGCTCCTGCAGATTTGTTGGCTACAATCTCCTGTTCCATCACATCCCAGAGATGCACTTTTGGATGGGATCTGGTGATTGTTGAAGCCAGGTCATGTTAAAGAAACCACTTTGACTGGTCATTTACTTCATGTCTTCCCCCTGATCTTTCTTCCAGCTTTCTTGTTTTCTCTCCACTGTAAAACCCCAAAAATATATTTTAAGAAAAGAAACCACATTCATGTTGTTCCAGCTTTGTGAGATGGTGCATAATCCTATTGGAAGGAGCCATCAAAAGATTGCTTACAGTATGGGAAGGGCTCGGATAGACTGTGTTGTTTAAAGATGCTCATTTGGTACTAAGGGACCCCCCAAAAATGTCTCCCACTCCATAACAACACAACCATAACCCTGAAACACTGACGCAAAACAGGATGGATCCATGCGTTCATGTTGTTTACACCAGATTCTGACTCTGCTATCCAAATGTTGCAGTAAAAATCTTGAAACATCAGATGAGGGAACATTCTTCCAATCTTCTGTTTCCTAATTTTGCTGATCCTGTGCAAATTGCTGAGCTGCCTCATACCTTGATTGTAACAAGTGGTTATTTGATTTATTGTTGACTTCCTACAAACTCATAGAGAGCTTGCTGTTCTCTGTTGACTGGTGACATCTAGAAAGTTGTTTCGACCATGTCTGCAAGCCTAAACGCGTTTAGTTGCCATGCTTTGGGCTGATTGGATATTTGCACTAACCAGCAGTTGAGCCGGTGTACCTAACAAAGCAGCCGGTGAGTGCATATAAATATATCACCAGTGGGCGATAAAAAATTAAGTACATCACACATCAGTGTCAAATTTAGTCTAAGGTAATTCAGAAATCAGAATCACGATCTTTTTATCTTGCAATATCTTTTTCTTCGGCTGCCTCTGTAGCATCTATCTGGAACATGTTGATGATATTCTAAAGGCAGTGGAGGAAATAGCTGCTCAAGGAATCCCAGAGCTCATCAATGCATCAAAAGATGAGAGCTCTGCTTCCTGGCCCACTCTCAGCAGGTAGGTCTCTACCATGAGCTCTTGATTCTCAGTCATACTGGAGTCAACTCTGGTGATTGTACTGTTGGTTAAGCTGTTAGATTAAGATCTGAGTCTTTGGTTTTCTCTCTTTCATCAGGCAGACATTCCTGGTGTTCTACAAAGTCTTGATGGCAGAGCTTGAGAAAGCTGTTCGCAAGATTCCTGCTAGCAAAATGAGTGACAACACTGAGGTCAGCCACTAGGTGTTACACTGTCCAGCATGTTCTCCTTTATGTAAATCACAGTAGTCATACCCATAAACTCAGAAAGTCATGTATGCCTTTCTTCTAGGCTCAGAGTGAGAAACTGCTGACATGGAATCTGGCTGTCAGGGACTTTCACATCCTGGTCAACCTGGTTAAGGTATAACATATAAACTGACTGACTGCTAACCTTTAGCTAAGTATATGGTCACGGTACTGTTGGAAAAGTGATTAGAATGAATGATATTTAAAAAGGGAGTTAATATCCATTCCATGTCACGTGTGTGTTTTTGTCCTTGCAGGTTTTTGATTCTCGGCCCGTTCTCAACGTGTGCTTAAAGGTGAGTGGGTTCTGCATGCTGACTATGATCTCACCTTCACTAACTGTTCAACGTTTTCCTTAACTGGTTTGAATCTTGTATTTGATAGTATGGCCGCCTTTTCCTGGAGTCTTTCCTGAAGTTGGGAATGCCGCTATTGGACTACAGTTTCAAAAGGCACAAGGTAGTTATGAAGCCACTTCACAGCTGTTGGTATACTTTCATGTCAGATCTCCCACCCCGTCACATGCACACTACACAGTGTCATGTTTACTAAAACTCTCAATGGTGCTGTAGGAGAGTATACCCTAACCATGATTTTATATACTGGCAAAATAATAAAAACACCATCAGCGTAGTAATCTAATTAACTTTACCCCACCTTCAGCTTGAGGATTGCATACAATGAACCTGAGCGGCTCTGCTGGCTAGCTATATGATAAGACCATTTTAAGCCAAGGATCTTTCCCTATGTTATTTTCTGCAAAGAAAAGTTTATATATCAGCACATATTGGAAAATATTTGTCCATGAACCTGTAATAGACATGACGATGTTTGCATCTTTCAAGGAGGACGTCCAGAGTTTGCTGAAGACCTTCCAGCTCAGCACTCGGCAGCTTCATCACATGTGTGGACATTCTAAGGTAATTTGATTATTTCTGTTAAATCCAAGAAAGAACCGAGTCTGTGTAGTGTTCACCTTTATCCTCGGGATTTCTTTAACTGATTATAATACATTGGTGCTCAGATGCATCAGGATACCAGCTTGACCAACCACGTGCCAGCCTTGAAGAAGAGCCTCGAGCTGTTTGTATACAGAGTGAAGGCCATGCTGACGCTCAACAACTGTCAGGAGGCCTTTTGGATGGGTAATCTGAAGAATCGCAACCTGAAGGTAAAATATTATTTAACATTATTGTTTTAATTCCTAATACATTTTAAATCATTAACTTAAAAGAATATGATTTACCCTGCAGGGGGAAGAGATTCTTTCTCAGAGGTCACAAGAAGATGATGATGATGATGATGATGATGAGGAGAAGGAGCAGCAGCTAGAGCGTTCACCACCTCCACAGGAGCAGTCAGAAGATGAGGTAATTGTAATTTCTTGTAAAAGATAAAACATGAATTGGGCCGACACTCCAAAGGCTTTTTGCAGTTTAGACGTTTGTTGCCTATACACTCACACCCTTTGTTAGGTACACCAGTTTCACGGGCTCAGTTAAATTGAACAATGGAGGATTGGAAAAACATTGCTGATGAGTCTTGATTTCAAATGCAACATTTAGATGGTAGGGTCTCTCTTTGGTGTCGACAAAATGAAAAGTATGGATCCATTTTGCCTTATATTAGCAGTTCAGGCTGCTGGTGGTGTTTTAGGCATCTTAGTACCAACTGAACGTTGTTTAAAAATCACAGCCTGCTTGACTATTACTGCTGACCATCATCATAAAGAGATGGACATGGTCAACAGCAATACTCGAGCAGGATAATGTGCCATATCACAAAACTGATTTCCTGAACCATAATAATGAAGTCACTGCACCCAAATAGTCTCCACAGACACCAAATCTCAGTTCAATAGAGCACCTTTAAAAGAGAAATAGATTTTTGTATCATGGATGTGCAGCCAACAAATCTGCAGCAGCTGTGTGATGCTGTCATGCCAATATGGACCACAATTTCTGAGAAATGTGCAGCACCTTGAGTTCAATGTATTAGTAAGGTGTACCTAATAAAGTGGGAAGTGGTGTATATATATTACAATTTGTTGTTTGTTTTTGAATAGTTATTAAACAAAAAAAAAGTTTTTGGCATCTGAAAACTGGTTAAAATAAAATACAAAACAAGCCCCTCCCCCCTCCAATGCACTATACTTACTTTTAGAAGTATTAACTGGTCGGTTCAACAGCTTCAACAGACAGTTGAAGCTGTAGAGCAGTGGGGCCGATAAGATAACTGTCATTCTCTAGCAGGCTAAAAATTAGTGGCTGAGACACTTAACAGGGAAGCGGTGTACTGTATAACTATGTAACTCTGTCTTACATATAGTCACTGTATTTATTCTCTACCATTAATGCTGTTTCATGCATGCGTGTTCACAAATAGTCATGTTTACCATGTGTGTGTTGTTATTGTGTGCAGGCCCAGGAGAGTGACTCTGAGGGAATTAAAAAGGTTAACAGGGTGGAGAATGTGGACCAGGAGGATACTTCAGATGACTCTGAGTAATACGTCTTTACTGACATAATAATAAATGTTTGAATCTTCCTATTTTCATTTTGTTTCTATTTACAGGTGAACAAATCTCATTACTGTTAATCCTATTAAATAAGTTATCACACTAGGGCACAGTGTTAAAAAAAAGTGTTACATTTGAAAGTGGTGGATGAATATGTCATTCATATGTTATATTTTAAAATGCTTACCAATTTAACGATTCCGATAAAATACCTTGTTTATCAGCTTTGAAACTGTAAAAATATAAAATAAAAATGATTTTGATGGTTTCATTTAATTTTCAAGACCTCTCTTTTCCAGATCTTGTATAAAATGGTATGTCCTGTCATTAGTTTAATATCACCATAATAATGTAGTGTTTTGACATGCTCTGTCATTTGAGGCAATGTTAGAGAACTTGCGTTTTTTTTCTTTGTATTGTAAGCCTGGGAAAATCACATCACAGTGCTCAGGCTCAACACAGCGATCTTTGTTCCTGGCAAATCCTGTAATGAGGGACAGCACTGATTAGTGTAAGCTCTAAAGGAAACAATATATATTTGATACTTTAAGGTCCTGGAGACTCATTTATGAGCATTTAATAACAGCGCTTGATGGTTAAAATTCTACATTAGAGTTAAAAAACAACAACTCTTAAATAGTGCCATTCCTTATGTACTATGGATCTCTAGCTATGAACAGTGAATCATAGTTTTTGCTTTTGCTGATATAAAAGCACAGGATTTCACATTAAAGTTGTATTACATGATAATTAAAGAAATATGACGTGATAGCTTTGGGGAAAGTTTCACCTCACAAAGAACAGATGCTGCTTTGAATGAATGTATAAGAGTTTTCTGCTCCTGAAACTTAAAGTATTGGATTTTCTTTTTTGCAGGGTTATTATAGAGTTTTTATTGATAATACATTATGGCTTGAATGCTGCTAAAATACCTGAGAAGAGAAATCCTCTACAGGTCCAATGCACAATTTATTATTTAACACATCACCAAGGAAATTGAAATAGTGCCTTTGTGCTAGTTTTATTGTGTCTATTCCGTGTAGTTTGAAATAAAAATGTTAGTTTTAGTAGATAGTAGCACACATTTCTATGTAGCGGCCTTTATTTCAGCAATGTTGATCATATATCGTAATGCACTATATCACAAAATTTCCATCAGCAGCACTTGAAAACAGCATGAGACAGGTACACAAAATATGTTTGCTGAAATATAATCAGCATTTCTCTGCTTATAATCATGAATCTAGTAAATTAATAAAATTAGGAACAAAAAGAGTTAGCAAACAGGGTGTGATGTGAACAGTACGTGATAAATTAGATGCTTTCCAAAATGCAGCTGACTGAAATGGAACAATACACCAAAACTGGCTGCAGCACATTGATCTGCCAAACAATGATAACTTGTCACACTTCATACTCATGATCTAAGTGGTTTAGAGCTGATAGCACTGAGGAGATTAAACATGGTTTGTGTCTCTGGTCCCAGGAACTAAATAAGCATTGAGGACCTCTAATCTGATGGTGAGTGTACACATCATCTTGTGTTGTTTCTGGTAGTTTTCTGTGAAAAGCAGGAAAATAGTGCATCTGTTTTTTTTGTTTGTTTTTTTTTGTTTTCTGCCACGCCGCTCCTGTCCCAAATAGTACTCCAGACTTGTTCTGGTATGCCTGCGCATACTGTAATAATAATATCCACCAAATTCTGCTTACATGTATTTTTTATATGAGTATTTTTGAATTTACACCGTTACCTGAACGTTGTCACACTATAAAGCAGTAATGTTTGATTTCAGTTTTTTATTTATCAATTTATTTATTTATTTTTAGACTTGTTCATATTAATGGAAAGGGGGTGCTATTGAAAATAATGAGTATTTCTTTGCGTCCAAGCCGGATTTTCGAAGCTCAGTAGGAGTAATATTCATTTAGTATTACGTGTTATACGGTTATTTGCTATTATACCGACGTAATTTACAAAAACCAACAAGTCCTTTAAATAAAACATAAACGCCTCCCCCCGAGGTGAATCAGCTTGGTCTGACCGGGAAGCGTGTACCTTTGTTTGGGGAAATAACTAGCTTTCCGCTGTGCTTGGACTTTGTGTAGCTATTTCGGCTTAAAAAACAACAACAATTCAGCACTGACTTTTGAATAGTCCCGATTCTTGTGCCGTGTTATTTGAGCCATTAGGACGACAGCGTCGGTGCGAGAGTGACCCGAAGGAGGACGTTTAGCACCAGATTTTGCAGTGTCTGCAGCTATTGTACCGCCTTGAGAGACCATGTCCGATTTGTTTCTGCTGCTGCTGATAATTGTCCTTCTGCTGTGTTTGGTTGTGACGGTGGGGAGCTTACTGCTGTACGCGGGGGTCCTGTCAGACATTGTCATTAAGACTGGACCGCCTCCAATTAGAAATGTCACCATTGCTTATAAGTTTAAAGAGGGACCATACAAGGACTGCGGTGCAGCCTACACTGAGAGCTGCAGCATTGGGCCAAAGCTGAACGCCATCGGTGTCTTCTACGATGACCCCAAGCAGGTGAGACCGTGAGACGTAGCACCTGTTACCGTAATGTTTAACTACACAGCACTGAAGGTGTATTTACATTTGACCCCGTGACATAACATCGAAATCCAATGTACTCTGTTAGCAGATAAGATATTGCAGCCAGTAAGATATACTGACCTGCAGAGTGTCCTAAAGGTCACTCAAAGGCTCACAATATTGAAAACTTAGACTGTTGCATCATTTAACATTGAGCTGTGATTGTCTGTGTAGTGGACTTAACAATACCCCTGGAAAAAAAAGTAAAATATGACCATGGCTTCAATAAGTGCTGGTTATTTTCTTGATAAATTGTCTTTTTTTGTGACCAGTTTATAATGTGTTAGTAAGTAAAACATTTAGCACGCAAAACAAAGCAGCACAGATCGGATATATAGCATCCATGCAGTATAAGAGACTGACTAAGGCTGACTAAAACCTGTGTTACAAAACTTTCCAGTAAGAAAGTCTTCTAAGTTTAATTTTATCACACAAAAAACTCCTTCCTTTAATGAACAAATATACATGTTAGCATTTGATAAAGATTGCCTTTATATTTAAAAGTATTTTCAGTATTGTCAGTATGTGTAGCATTATTGTATTGTCTCTAAAATCACCTCACAATTTCCCAGCAGCTACAGTTACATCTTTAATTGAATTCTTTTCTCCATGCAGTATCCTGTCATTGGAAAGTGCTTATGTTGGCATTTTTTGCTTTTAAATGTAAATACATTTGTATTTAAATATAAATACATGTATTTTACTAAAGCTACGAAACATCGGCTAAGTTGTTAAGTGGCCACTGATCCCTTTTGGATAATAAAAAAATCTTTTTGCTCTAAATACTGTTTATTCATATTTTTTCATGGCACTGAACTGCGTAAGCAGATTTATTTCAGTGTAATTTACTATGTGTAGCTCAGTGGCTTTAATATACAAGCTGTCTTTTAAAGTAACTGAGCTTGAATGATGAAACCAGTCGGCTATTCATTGCCACGTTGCACTGTTGATATTGTTTCCCCTCTCATCTGTGGCTCCAAGGCACTTTGGCATTTGCCTGTTTCTGACTCAGAAATGGTAACCAGACTCCTGACTATAAGGGCAAACACAGCCTCTTCACATGTGTCTAGGAAAAGCTGACAGATGTCTGAAAATGTAGCGGGTTCTGCTGTAGCCTAAATGAATTATATTACAGTCACAATCCAGATAAAAGAAGCAATGAATATCCTTTTGTCAGATGGATCCAGATCCAAATTTTGCATAACCGGGTCATTCCTCAGCTGAGAACTGCGGTTATTTCCTGCTTTCATTCTACATACTGCTGGGCATCACGAGTTGTGTTTTTAGTCAACAAAAAGAGTCTGTTCAATAGCTGATGGGAGTGTTCATTGAGTTCCCAGCTGGTATGGGAGCAGCACAAACACTGTGCAGTTTGATGAAATTTCACAGTTGCAAGTTATTTTCTATATATAGCTTAGTCGTTGACTTAAAAAAAACCCTAACACTTAGGCTCTGTTTGCTTATATTGCATCAGTCCTGCTGACACAGGGTAAGGAAGGTGAGTGTACATTGTTGGACGAGCTGACCTAGCTGACAAACAGTGTGGCAAAATAGAGGCATTTGACACAACTTCAGTCTATGTGGTGGTCAAGGAGCAGTGTCATGTGTGTAAGAGTTTCAGAATTTCTATATGGCCAGATCACAATTCGGTTTCCTTTATAGAATAAAGAATGTGACACAACAGCATAACTGTCTGTATTTCTGCTTACACCCACTGTTTTCTCTGTCTTTTTTTAACTGAAGTCTTTTAGTAGAAGCTCTGACTGTGAGTCATGCCAGTGGAAAGTTCTGGGTAAAGACTAATTGAAGAGCTTTTAAAACTTTTTTGCTGGTGCTGGAGTTTGTGGAGAGTCTGGCTCATAGGGTGTCTACAGAACACACAGATTACTATATAGATCGCATGACTCTTGCAACTGGAAAAAAGCAGTGTGATGAGGAATTAGGCTTTACTGGGGTAAATTAAGTAGGCAAGTATTTGAACTTAACTGACAGGTTTGAGGTTCTTAGTGCAAATTTTCAATCCCTTTTTGACCTGACTCTTTGTCAACCCACGGCTCTTCACTGTTTTCAAAGTGACATGACATTCTGATTACTCCCCACCATCCGCAGGAGTAAACATAAATTGCAAAAGTGCCACATGGCTTAACTTTTACTGAAAATTTTACTTAACACTAATGTTAAAATTTTTTTTTCAAACAGGACTCTAAATTGTAATGCAGTAAATCTGCATGAAGAGATACAGTTTTTATGTGATCAGATTTTTTTTACTGCTTTTTTATTGTATGAGTTTTATTAGCTGTTACAGCTAGCTGTTTAGACTTTACTTAAGGAAACTATTTACGCCTGCAGTCATGTGAAAAAGAAAATGTTCACAGGATTCTGCAGTCACCCTTAATTCTTCCTAAGGAATTAAGATGGTAAATTAGCAGCCAGGTGATGCTCATTAAAAGCAATGGATTAACTGATCATCAGGAAGTGCGAGCACCTCCAAAAAAAGCAGGACTTTTGACAGTTTGCCGCTGTGGAGTCTTCAGGTGTGTGTTAGCACCGTGCCAAAGAGGAAAAACATGAGCAATGACCTTAGAAAAGCAGTTGTTGCTGTCCATCAACCTGGAAACAATTAAAAGGCTATTTCC